CTCTGTAAATGTTTATGAAAATTAATAAAATATAATTATAGAAAAAAAAAAAGAAGATTGCATCGGGTAACTTTGCTCTCAAGGACCCCTTGAAAGTGCTAATGAGCAAAGATGTCAGTTTAAAGACTAAGGAGCATCTTAATGCATGTGAAAGTTGGACAATGATAAGAAAGATTTAAAAATAATAGATGCTTTTGAAGTGTAGTTTTGGTGGAGAATATTGAATATACCATAGACTGTCAAAGAACAAATATGTGTTGAAAGAAATGCAACTAGGGTGCTCCTTAGATATAAAAATCAAGAGACTTTGTCTCAAATACTTTGAGTTTTTTTTTTTAGGAGAGACCATCCCTTGAAGGGGACACCATGCATGAAAAGGTATAGAGTTGGAGAAAGAGAGAAAGACACTCAACTACATGGATTGACACAGTGACTGCTACAATGGGCATGAGCTCAAGTGGAGATTGTGAGGATAGTATGTGAGGATAGTACTGGTTCAGTCACTTGACAGTACCTAACAACAATGACAACAATTCTTTAATCTTTGTAGTCAGACCACACTCACTGATGATACCTCAGCAAGAAGTGAGTACAAGGTTAATGGTGACTGTGCTCTCTCAAACCTACCCTACCTGAATTAGCATAGGTCAATACATAAAAGATAGAAAAGACAGTAAATCTATAAAGTCACAGGCTATCAGGTGCTGAATTGACTGTTTTGCTACATCCCCCAGGGATTTCACTTCAATATACTTTGGAATTCTTACTGATGTTCATGTTGCACAGAGTCACCACCTTGGAGCCCTCTTGCAGGTGGGTGGTCTTCAGCATGAAGAGGAGGGACAGGTAGTGATCTTTCATTTCCAGATCCATCTCATCTATGCTCAGGATCTTCTCAGTGAGGATCCAGAAATCCACCAGCTCTTCACCTATAGGTCAAACAGGGTAGTCTCAGGGCTTTACCTCAGTCTTTGTTAGCTGCATCTTGTTAGAGCAGCTGGTACTGCCTCCACCCCCACCAACCAGCTGTACTGACTCAAATATCACCACTAGTCACTTGGTTAAAATATCATCTAGAACAGCCATAATTCAGGGTATGAAGAGGGGAAATGGGTGAGAAAGAATAGCACAGTATCTTAATGGATAAGGATTCTTTTTATGTTTTATTTTTGTTATTGTTGCTAGATCTATCACTTTAGAAAGAACTTCGAGATGCTGAGAATGGGTCATAAGACATTAATTGTTTTTAAAAAGAAACATGAAATGCTTAACAAATTTACATATCATCCTTGCATGTGGGCTGTGCTAGTGTTATCTTCTCTAAATCACTCTGATTTTAATATATGTGCTCGCAGAACAGATTGTCCAGGAGGCTGTGCTCTATGAGGAGAAATGTGGGGTCAAGACTGGTGGAAGATCTATTAACTATCTGCGTTATGCAGATGACACAATCCTGCTTGCTGAAACTGAGGAGGACCTGAAGCGCTTGCTGCAGAGGGTCAAGGACTGCAGCCTCAATATGGATTGAGGCTTAATGTCAAGAAGACAAAGATTCTTGCCACTGGGCCAATTGGTAGCATCAGGATGGATGGTGAAGAGATTGAGATTGTTCACACCTTTAGTTTGTTTGGCTCCACTGTCAACACTCTTGGCACCAGTAGCCAGGAAATGAAAAGGCGTATTACCATGAGAAAGTCTGCTGTTAGGGACCTCTCCAAAGTA